AGTTTGGAAGTGATTAGGGTTCTGGGCAGGCATAGATTAGGGCACCACAGGAAACAGGAGAGTTTTTTTTTCCATTTTCTGAGTGTTTGAATTTGGAAATAATTAGGGTTTGGAGTATGTCCACTCATTAAAAATGAATAGCAGGACTCTCCCAAAATAAAAAAATTAGATCATCCAAATTGTGGTAGTAAAAGTACTAGTGCCTTAACGGAGAGGTAAGAGCAGGCCTTAGTTACAACTGTGATGGGCACTATAGAGAAAGAGTCATTTTCCCCCAGCACAGACAAAATTTGGCCATTGATGTAAGGAGAACAAGCTGTGGATTGGAGACCTCACACTGTGGACAGCATCAGTGGCTCCAGAGGGGCCGTCTGGGTGCGGCAAAGAGGTAGACATGATTGTGCCTCCATGTTTGTAGGAACTGCTGCAGTCTGGAGAAGAGCTGGCTACACTACCATTAAGGGGAACCTCTCCTGTATCCACCACCCAGAAAGCATGTTATTGACAGCATAATGCCTCTAGAACCTGACATTTGTGTGGCATGCTTCCTTTCTCTCCATCTTTCCAGCCAGCTTGCCGTTGTAGGAGGCATAACAGCCCTCGTATTAAGAGAATAAACTTTTTGATTTAAAAGTAGTCCTCCAAAATAATAAATCACTTCAAATCATTTTATGTTGCCCTATAATGTGCACATATATATAACCGGACTCTCAATGCCTAAAAAGGTTTTGCTTCTTTTCCTCACTATAAAATATTAGCAGGACAATTTTAGAAATCCAACTCATCAAGCATTTATTTATGTCGTACAACATGCGCATTTGAGTAGGCTCATTAATGCAGTGACACTTTTTAAGGAGTTTCTTTTAACAATGTTGTTAGATACAGGCCACACTGAAGACTTTTTTTCTTCTTACAGCAGTTTCATCATCACTGTGGTGTATTTATTCCTGGAATTTCTCACCTTGTTTTCAGTATCACGTGATTGTGCAACATCTGCTCCGCATCTCAAACATGATCAGAGTACATGCGTCTGTGGCAGAGGTCTAATGACTCACAGCACAACTCAGAAAACTGGCTTGTTTTCTGAGAAGCTACATCTTCATTTTAATTTACTAAGAAGTGATACATTACTTGCTACTAACACAGACAGAGCGGAATTCACAGGGTACAAAGAAAGGAGCAATGATTGTATTACACTAGTGACTTAGGCACTTAGCAGGCTTTCAGTGAGATGTAGGCTCCTAAGTGCCTATGACTATTTTGAAAATAAATGGGATTTAGACTCCTAGGCCTAGATCCTTAAAGGTATTTAGGCACCAAACTCGCACTAAAATCAATGGGAATTAAGTGCTTCACAAACCTTTGTGGATCTCACACTCCAAACTCCTCAGCCTCACCCTCCACCCACGCTCCCTCCTGTTCTCCACACCCCTCATCCCCGGCCCCACCCCAGAGCCCTCACCCCCATCTGGAGCCCGAATCCCAACCCCCTGCCCTAGCCCGGTGAAAATGAGCGAGGATAAGGGAGAGCAAGCGATGGAGGGAGGGGAGATGGAGTGAGCGGGGCCAGGGCCTCAAAGAAGGGACAGGAGCGAGGCAAGGGTGTTCAGTTTTCTGCAATCAGAAAGTTGGCAACCCTACCTGCAAACTTTTACTTGCATGAGCAAGCCTGAGTGGCTTCAACTGCACTAGCTGAGCATTGCTCATGTGAACAGAAGTTTGCAGGGTTGGGCCCTTTTATAGTCACAGTAACAAGGTACAATTAAGAAAATAGAGGTATGCCTAAACTGGCGCTGGAGGTGTAAATTCCTGCTTGAGGAGACATACTTGTCCTAGCTCTCTAAAAATAGAAATGTCGCCACCATGGCACAAGCAGGATCCTAACCAAGATGCTAGGAATATACGTCGGTGGCTAGTCTCTCATTTTGCTTGCACCATGGCAGCCACATTTCTATTCTTAGTGCATTAGCTTGATCACAGCTACTGCAGTTATGTCTTCTTGAGCTGGAATTTACACCTCCAGGTTGAAGTATAGATTCCTTGGTTTCCCTCTTCCTGTGCCACATAGAGTTCATAAACCAACACATGTAAATGCTGAAATCAGGAAAAGGGATCATGTAAACATTAGATGGATTTTTCCTTTATCCATTAAACTGGCTTTGGTAGACATCACAAGCCAAATTTTGCTCTGATTTACTCCACTGACTGCAATGAAATTTACATAGGCATAAGTGGACAGAACTGAGCCTGCTCATTTAAAATGGCTGGACTGTTCTCCTTCACATGCTTTATAGCGCCAAATTATCATGATTAAGGCTACAATTTAAATCATGGGTATTTTAGTAAAAGTCATGGACAGGTCACGGGCAAGAAACAAAAAAATCACAGCCTGTGACCTGTCCATGTCTTCTACCATAAATACGCCTGATAGAATCTTTGTTGTTGTTGTTGTTTTGGGGAGGGGAGGGGAAAGATACTACTGCTAAGGAGGTTCCTGGAGCCAGCCGCATCGGCCGCTGCTCAGGCAGTCCTGGGGGCCAGTTGCTCGGGCAGTCCCAGGGGCCTGCAGTCCAAGGCCACCAGAGCAGCAGCCAGTGTGGCTGGGTCAGGGGCTGGGACCACTCCAGCAGTGGCTGATGTGGCTGGCTGCAGAGCCGCTCCAGCAGCAGCCGGTGTGCTTGTCCCCAGGGCCAGCTGCTTGGGCAGCCCTGGGGTCAGCCACACTGGCCGCTGCAGAAGTCACGGAGGTTGCAGGAAGTCACGGATTCCATGACTTCCGCACCTCTGTGACAAACACGGAGCCCTAATCATAATCCATCACCTGAGTTGCAATGTCCATACACAACACACCAGTAATTGCCTGCACAAGTATTTAATTCCCAAGCAGAATTTCATGTTTGCAGATGCAATTTTAGAACCAGGTTTTGAAAAAAATGGCACACAAGGTTATAGGCCAATATTCTTTTTTTCCCATTTGCCTCAGACTATTGCATATAAGTACTGAAAGAAATATGAGCAAGTACTATATAAGTACTGAAAGAAATAGGATTAAAAAACAAAGGTGAGATTTTTTTAAATCCACTTAGGGTGTTGGGACACTCAATTCCCATTAACACTAATTAACTAATTACATTTTAATGAGGATTAAATGACCAGACCCCTTCAGCAGCCCTGAAAATCTCAGCGAAGAGTAGAACCCTAAAAGCATTAGAACATGATATCTTTGTAATATGTGAGTTACATTTCAATCCACTGCTGAGGCTGAATCCAGCTGTTTTCGTTTTTTTAATTTAACATTTATGCAAGAAGATTGCTTACAAAAATAAAACTACTGGAACTGCCTGAAGTTACACTTTTTGTGGCTTTGATAAGTAAAACGATCGGTCTCTGAACTGTATGATTTCAGACCCAAAGGTCAAAAAAGTCACTTAGGTTGCCAATGTTAACAAAAATTAGTGTAATAATAAAAAAAATTTAAGTGAATTCCCCCTCCCCGTTTCTCCTCCGCTACTGCTTTATTTCCCTAGGAGTCCTGCCAGCTTAAGAAGACACAATACACCTCCAAAAATTACTAGTACAGTAGCAAGAGAATCCTTCCTTAGAAGCAAAAGTTGTTTCTTATCACAGAAGAAAGCAAAACACTTATCAGGCATAACCATGAGGTAGGAAATTTTAATATCAATCAATCCCCCTGCTTCTATTCCCCTATTTGAATATTTTGATCAGGTTCAAACTGCAGTCCTCAATGTGTCGCTTTACTATGGCAACCCCCAGGAAGAGGGGGGGAAAAGCTATGGAGTTAATACATTTAAATCAGTATTTCCTAACTTGGGGAGAGGCCTTCCTAGGAAGGCAGCATACTAATGCACACAGGAAGGGAAAACTACATGACTTTGGATCCACTCTGACCATATCCCTCACCACAAACATACTGCCATGCATAAACCACTAGGCAGCTCCTTGAAAGCCACCCACCATCCATTCCTGCTCCTACAGTAGTTTGTAATCATAGAAGATCAGAGTTGGAAGGGACCTCAGGAGGTCATCTAGTCCAACCCCCTGCTCAAAGCAGGACCAATCCCCAGACAGATTTTTGCCCCCAATCCCTAAATGGCCCCCTCACGGATTGATCTCACAACCCTGGGTTTAGCAGCCCAATGCTGAAACCACTGAGCTATCCCTCCCCGCCAAATGCAGGTAATGCAGCTTGCCATGGGAGTAATTCACATGCATAGGATAGAAATATGCCAACCTAAGCTTTGTTTGGTAACACTGAGCTCAGCTGCAAGTACACAAGGGTCTCAGGTACACAGAATCAACAATGAATGCCTTCCATCTTGAGAGCTGTATGTAGCTTTCTAGTAAGTGCAGGCAGGAAAGAGAATCAGTTAAAAAAGAAAAAGAAAAGAAAGAATAAAAAAAATAAAGAAAAAGCCACAACAGAAAAAAGGAATAGGAGAGTAGGACTTGTTATAATAGATCACATCAGGGACCCATTTAGTCCAGTGTTCTGTCTCTGACACTGGCCATTAACTGCTGCTTCAGAGGACGGTTCAAGTAACCATGAAGTGGACAGTTAAGGAATAACCTGCCATAGGGTGGTGGGAACCACTAGTGTAAGTGAAGGTATTTGATGACTTCCAATGGTAAATTCAGATCTGGGAGGATTAAAGGGAAACAGTGGGATGAGGAGGTGGGGTGTCATGGAGGGGCGGGGGGGGAGGGGAAGGAAAGGAGGAGCATAAAATCCAAAACCAAAGGAAAACAAGTATGAACATTTCCATAATAAAAGTTGCACTGATCTGTGGTTCAGTAACTGGTACACTAGAACTCAAGTCCTAATTAGGTGATTACTCACCTTTTACTCAGCCCTCACTCATGCAAACTCCCACTGAAGCAAAAGGTAGCTTGCCTGAGTAAGAACCTTATGATTAAGCCCTTTGTCTTTACATAATAATATTTCCTAATATTATGAAGGGAAAAAAATCCTTCTTCGGTACCTTTATAGTTTCCGTAGGCACTCCAGGCTCCGGAACTTTATCCAAGTAAGTGGTCAAGTCTTGATCGACATGTTCAAACACTAGTGTTAGTTTGGTCTCTCTGTCTGTTCGTGACACTGTGCATACATCAAATAACCTGAAAGGAGGAAAAGGAAAGAGGAGATAAGTTGACGGAAACCAGTGAAGCAGTACCTTGCAGCTCACACATGTATGCTTCCATTTGCTGTAAAATGTGGAGCAAAGAAAGAACTTTCCAAAGCAGGGACAGTCTGTGGCTCTTGATGATTCAAGTGATGATCAATTATTTGTGACATCACATTCAAATTTCATGTTTGGATTCTGAAATCACAAGTATTACAATTTCACAGCATGATCAAAGAGTAGTAGTTAGGTGAGGAGATGATCGATTCTGATCAAGACACAACTACAGTTAACACAATACAGAAAATTATTTGATTTTGTATACATGTTCTCTACCTCCTGCCACGTTTGCTCCCCTTTCATTCTTCTTCAAGAGGAAATATGTCAACAGTGACTTTTTTGAGAAACAAAGAAGCTTACTGCTTTTATGCACTTATTAATTTCTTCTCACACCCCTCCAACGTACATCATTACATGATTTGTCACTTAGTTTAGAATCACATTCTCCTTCTCCTCTGATCTACAGAAACAGTATTTTTGCACTGATTAATCTTGTAAATTGCTAAAACCAGGAAAGAGTCAGGAAATTGAGTTTATAAAAATCCTTTTATACAAAATACAGCTGCTAAGATATTCTTCCTTTCTCATCATTCTGAACACATTACTCTCTTATTTAAATCCTCTGCTTTCTCACCCTCTTTCAAAGCATCAGGTTCAAAGTTTCTTCCCCTCATTTTCAAAGCTCTTCACAGCTCTCACTCTTCTTACTTGTCTACTCTTGTTTCTTACTGATACTCCTCCCAGCTCCTCTAGCCAGTGATCTATGTCCGCCTGTTTCTCTCACACATTTCTGTGCCTCCTTATATGCAACTCCTTCTGTATGGAATGTCTCCCTCTAAATGATATGGAGGGTCATTGCTTTCTCTTCTGTCAAACCCTTCCTCAGGGCCCTCCTCTGCCACAATCCCATGGGGAAATTATCTAATTACTGGCTTTCAAATGAGATGGGGTTATCTGATACTATCTTTTTTAATTGTTTTTTTTTTAATTACAAGTGTTATTTTAAAAAGTATAGATTTGATTGCCTTCCTGTGTGAAACATGAAACAAAATCAGTCAATATATTCATCAATTGATAGTAGATTTTTTTTTCTAAAATACACGTAATTACTATTCTTGAGAAAAAGAATATGTAGTTTGATAGGAAACCGATGACACTATTTTGAGATTAGTGGTGAAAAAATATTTATTTTGGGACAAAATTAAGATTGTAGTGATAAAATATGCATTTATTTTATACCCAATAAGAATAACACGCTTGTTTATTGTAGGGGCAGTATAAGATTAATGAGGTCCTTAATTAATAATTTCCTTACTCTTAGATCCACGACTACACTCCTGATATGCTGGTTCCACAGTAATGCCTAGTGCACTAGGTCAGAGGTTCTCAAACTGGGGGGGTGCACCCCCTAGAGGTCACAGAATTTATTCTGGGGTGTGTGAGGAGCTTTAGCAAAAAAAAAAAAATAATAACTTACTGCACCCATTCAGAGCTGGTCAGATGCCCAGCTCTGAAGGCAGCACTGCTGACAGAGAAGTAAGGGTGATAATACCATACCATGCCACCCTTACTTCTCCACTGCTGCTGACGGCGGCACTGCCTTAAGCTGGGAGCCTGTGGGTGGCCGGAGAGTGGTGGCTGCTGACTGGGTGCCCGGGTGGTGGGATGTAAACTACTCCAGACACAAAGAAGCGGGGCACGATCAAATAAGTTTGAGAACCACTGGACTAAGCCAGAGTGCCTCCCTCCTAGTCACTGAAGTTATCCCATCTGAAAAATATGGGTAAGAAAAATGCTTTTCACTTATTTAGTGTTTTTTCATCTGTAGATCTCAAAATATTTTATAAAGGTGGTTTAGCATTATTATCTCCATTTTACAGCTGGCCTAAGTTCAAAGATTTGAACCAATATGTAAGAGAGGCATTGAGCGCTACTGGATGCTCTTATGGGTCTACCACTTCAGGGTTCTGGCCCCAGTTTTAATAAATATTGCCTACAATCTCTGGCTAGTCACTTAAACTTGGATTCTTAGTTATTCCATTTTGAAAATGGATGTCTTAGGCCAAAGACACATTTTGATGAAGAATAATTTTAACACAACCAAGAGTTTCATTTCCTTTCACTTCTGAATAGTAGTCCTGTCTTGTTCACAGATAAACACTGAAAATTCTCTCTGTGATGCCCTTTATACCCCCTAACAGCTTTAATGACAAAATATCATGTCTCATTTTCAAATACTGGCAATTTTTAAAATTGTTATTGTGCTTGAAAACTGCCTATTGCATGAGTCAGTGTAAAACTCGGTTTCACATTTTGTAGCGTATTAGGATTTTGTTGGGGAAATCAAAGGACACAAAGAAACAGAGGTTTTGTAACAATTTCTCCTCCTTTTATGGTTTCAAGAAGTTCCTACTCCATTTAAGCAAAACGTTCAGAAAATGTTCTAGTTGGCAATAAGACTTAAACCTAAAAATGAGCAAAGGGCTTCTTTACTGGAGTTGCAAGGAGAATCAAAATCGGCTTTATAATGGGACTGTGGAGGTTATCCGTGCTCCATAACCGAACTTACACGCGAAGAATGGACATTACTGTCTTGGTTCTAACAGCTCTAATAACCCAGGCCTCCAGCATTGGAGCTCAAGGAATATTGTTGGTAACAGTTCATTAAAGAAAAATCATTATGTGCTTTCTAAGCTCACTAGCCAATAGAGGGAACATATTCTCTCACAAATATAGAGTCAAATCCTCAGCTAGTATAAATCAATGTAGCTCAGCTGACATCAATGGAACAACACCAGTTTATACCAGCTGAGGATAGGGCCCTTTGTGCCCAATTCCGTTCTAACTATAGACAATGGCAAAAGAGCTCTTTTGACATCCATCAGATCAGAATTGTGCCCCCAAAAGACCCACAACAAAAAAACCTTAATAACTTTGCTAAAAAACACCTATTTACATTAAATACAGCTAGCACATGAGTGTCCAAGGAGATTGAACTGTCAGGTAAATTTGAAGGAATAGTAACAAGTGGTTCTGAATTGGAAGAACACAAAGAAACAGGGAAAAGTTAATATTTTAAATCAGGGTGATTTTTAAATGACCTACAATTTAAACATCATTTTGATTCATTTTTTTTACAGAAACATTCTTTGTTTTCACAACAAATATGGCAGTTTTTAGATCAGAGTATTTTCTGAGCCAAACTTATATGGGCTGCAGAATAGAAGCTTGGTGCAATTTTAACAGAGAGAGGCTCCGCCTCTCCATAAGAAACTTATTTTGATCTAATTAATCATATGAATAAATATTCATCAGATGAACACGAGAACATATATTTATGGGGCTGATATTGGCTACAGCAGCAAAAGCCCTGGAACAAATATTATTATCTTTATAATTCCCTTAATGGGACAATATAAAGAAGATGGATGCCTCTGAATAGAAAATAAGTTTTGTGAAAAGTCACTAACCGTTCTGAAAAGCAAAATTCCCAGGTATTTGGCTGGAGGTTAATAATCTGTAATATATTTATATGAATCAATGTGGAATGTAGACGGACTACCTATAACCCCAACACATGCAAACAGAGAGGAGCCAGACAGGTCTGAACATCTGAACATAAACACTGGAAAATATTTCCAACTGTATGATTCCTTTGTGTTTGCTTACATTTACTTTAAAAAAAAATTAAAACACCTTTTTTTGCCAGGTATTTAATACATTGACAAAACTGCCCTTTCAACCATTGAAGGGTTGTAATTCAGTTGGTTTGTTTGTTTGTTTTAAACAAGATTTCACTGTGTCAGATGTAGAAGCAATGTATATTACTACAAGCTTCCTTTAGAGGGAAATCAAATACCAATATTCTGTTTCATTTTTACCAATTGTATTTAATTTGATCCTGGTATTCTAAATGCATGTTAATAGGTACTCAGCTAAGTTTAAGAACTGTAAGAATGAGGGGCAATGCCGTTTGTCTATTAATCACTGTATGGAGTAATAATAATGCTAATATCTTGCACTTCTATGCCACCTTTCATCTGAGGATCTCAAAGTGCTTTACAGTTAATTAAATAAGCCTAAAATCCCACCCACATCCCATCTGAAGGCAGTAAAGAGGATATAATTATCTCTGCAAACTACAAATGCTCCCTAAATAGAAAATTTTAAGCAGAGCTTGTTTAAGTCTTTGATACTATAAAAAAATTACATCTAGCATTGCCTGTGTTAATTACCACTGGAAGAAGATAGCTAGCACAAGGTATACCCTCTTGCTTGATAGCTCCCCTACTGATGAGATAACCTCATTATAAATTATACCCTTCTATATTTATTGTGAGAAAAGCATCCTTATGTAATTCCATAACAGTTGCCTTCTATGGTTAGGATTAACTCTGCCATCTAAACTGTAATTCTTTCAGGCCATTTCCTGCTTATTTTTTTCTATTTGACTGGTTACACAGCATCTCTGGCACAGGCCACAGCATCCAGCCTTTTATTTAAAAGGTTACATTGTGTCCATAGAACTCAGTGGAGTAAATCCAGATAAATTAATACAGGATTTCCATACTGAAAACTTTGTAAACACAAACCCTGCCCTTCTATTGTACTTATAAAAGAAACCTTTGCATTATTTGCAATGACTAAAACTAAGATCCACTACAGGAAGTCCTGCAAGTATTTAACAAGAAGTTTGGCTGGAAACGGTTGAAGCGCTGATGTGCAGATCTGAATTAGAACACTATGAAATACCAGATGCCTACTGGAGACTTGCTTTTCAATGGAACCAACTTTTTGGAGTTAACAGTACCACCTAGGAAAGATTTATCAGCTATGAACCCACCTAGAGCTCTATTTTCAATTTTTATATTATATTATGTGCGTATTTTCTGTATCACTACACAGAGGCATATTTGTCTTTTTCTCTTTTTTTTG